ATTATTAACCTGCAATATATGCAGTTCGGTTTACCCTGTCTGTCTAAATATCAAACATCTTTGGCATATCATGGAACAGGTATTTTCCATCAAATATTGATATTTTGAACTTTAAGTCCTTATGGAATATGAAGGAAAAATAATTTTATAAAGTAGAAATAAGTATTAACATTTTTACAGAGAAATGTAGAAATCTAACCACATACAGAATTGTAACAGAACAGACCTGTGACATTTTTTTTCTTATTCTTGTGTCTTTTTTTTTTTTTCAATTTATGACTTTTTTTTTTTAAAAAAAAAAGCCTTTACTTGAGACACATTATGGCAATAAATGGTATGTCATGACAAGAAGTACATATTTAGAAGACCAGGATGGCAGGTACTCCAAGCGTGACCCCTCTATTACACATCGCCATCCTCAGTGCAGCCGCCTGGCTCACAGGTACCAGCATATACAGTTAGTCAGGGTGAGAGTCTCACCAGCCAACCACTAGTCTCAAAAACCTGCTGATGTAAACCAGTATCACTGCCCCATCCATTTCATGCATACAAATGTATGACTTTGCCCCTGTCATGTTTCCCAGATTTTCTCCTTGCCCACTCCTCATTGTCCAATCCTCAAGTTCTCGCTTTCCTTTTATTTGTGTTATAACTTTCTATATGTAATTCCTCTTTTAAGTTCTTATACTAGGGAGACAATACAATATTTATACATGTGGGTCTGGTTTATTTCACTTATAAGTGTATCTTCAAGTGGTATCCACTTAAATATGAAGGCTTTGAGTTTATCATTCTTTATAGCTTTGTAATACTCCATTGCATAAAAGTACCACATCTTTTTCAACCATTCCACATTTGACGTGCATCTTGGTTGGGACCCGTGTTCTTTATACTCAAGTTCAGATATTGTTCTTGTGGAAGCAGGACAGCACAGCCCACCAGCTTCTGTTCTAAGGGGCCAAAAGGTCTAAGAGACAACCACTCTCCAAAGTGGGCTGGGTTGCTCTGAGCTGTTTCCTGCCAGAGTAAATGGCCCCTGGAGCCCTGGGGACTGGAAGGTTGGAAAGTGGAGTTTGGAGTTCAAGTTTCCTGCAGCGCCCAGTGGAGGTGGACAAAAATAAATGTGAAAAAATGGGTTTCTGGGGCTTGACTCCATGGCAGCCATAGAAACAACGTGGTTTTTAGTCTGATCATAGCCCAAGCCTGTGGTCAGCCTGGCACAGGTCCCCTGGCTTATCTTGGTTAAATACATGTGACAGAAATGTATTTTGGGCCCAGAGATCAGGAGCCAAGCTCTATTTTTTCAGGAATGGTCTTTGACCAAATTGTGAGATGGACTGTCTGTTTTCAACTCTCCTCTCTCTTCACCTCTTTAGATGCTTCTTTCCTGGCAGCTCAGCTTCCTCCTCTATTTCAGCTGCCCTTGGGCTCAGACATGAATAAGTTTGGGAAGGGCTTGATCACTTCCTACAAGTTTGGAGCAAATGAGAATTTAGGGTATCATTCTGGTCAAGAGAATGCTTGCTTTGCACGGATTATAAAGCCTTCAGCAAAATCTCTAAGGAGGGAATTTCATACCAGCAAGGAAGAGCTTTGGGTAGAATACATTTTCTATTTCCTTTGAATCATATCATAATTTATGATTTTAAGAATTTAATGTCAACCCTGTTTACACATTGTTCTATCTTATATATTTCAAGTATTAACTTCATTATTCCTTACTGTTATAAGATAGGTACTTTTATTATACCCATCTTATTTTATGTTTTTTCAGCACCAGGAATTGAACTCAGGACCTTGCGCTTGCCCGGCAAACACTTATTCTACTGAGCTATCTTCCCAGCCCTTCATTTTACATTTTAAGGAAACTAAATAGTTTAGTAGCTTTCCTGATGTAGGCAGCGTTAGTCCACTGAGCTATCAGGCTGGCCCTTTGATGAAGCTTTAGATGTGGGTGATTTTATTTCACTTGATGAATCATAAATTTTTGACTTCATTTAGACAAAGAGAAGTAGATTTGGTGGCTCTAGATTTATTTCATTACTTATGTTAAAAGTTTTAAGGTGACACTAATAAATGTGATATTTAAAAAAAAAACTAGATAGAGGTAGGGCTTAAAAAAGTCTCCTAACAGTCTTTAACATCTCTGTCCCCTTCGTAGAGTTTGGAATTTATGACTCCAGTTGTGATTTCTATGCCTCTATTTCTATGCTGTGTGCTTGGGGTTCCTGAGATGGCCCAGCCCAAGCTCTTCTTTGAGGCCCGCTGTGTGCTAGCGAGTCTGCATATGTCGTATAGCCTGCACACGTGCATGAGTGTGTGAGCAACTAGTCTGCACAGCATCGCTTCTTGGCAGTGTGCTGATTTTGGGTGACGCTGTCCATAGAGTGTGGAACTTTGTGGCATTGTTCTCTGTGTTGTTGAGATCTCTTTTTGTTCTATCCTCCAACATTTTGTGTGTGTGTGTGTGTGTGTGTGTGTGTGTTATTGGAGATAGA